GGCGATGGCAAGAGAGTGGGGGGAGCCAAGCTACCTCTAGAAGGTAACATGGCGTGGAATGACGACCTGAAAATATCACATGAGGAGCTGTTGCACGCTGTAAATCGAATGAAGAGGAAAAACGCAGCCCCAGGACATAGTGGCATTCCGTCCAAGGCGTGGGCCCTTGCAATAGAGGTTATGGCAGGCGACATGTTAAGGCTATACACAGAATGCCTTAAAAGAGGGCAGTTCCCAGGAATATGGAAGAATGCAAAGTTAGTCCTATTAAGAAAAATGGGGAAACCGGACGACCAGGCAGCCGGGTACCGTCCAATCTGCCTATTAGATGACGAGGCGAAGATATTGGAACGCATCATCGCAGAAAGAATTGTCAAGCATTTGGACGAGAAAGGCCCGAACCTGAATTCTCATCAGTACGGATTTAGGAGGGGAAGATCCACAATGGACGCGATCAACGCTGCCAGGAAATATATGGAAGATGCATTCTCAATTGGTTATAAGGTGATTGCAGTGTCGCTTGACATAAAGAATGCGTTCAACTCACTGCCGTGGAGCACTATAGGGAGATCCCTTAAAAAACACAGGATCCCGCTATACCTAAGGAGAATAGTAAGAAGCTACCTGACGGATAGAAAACTTTCTTACAATAAAAACAACGGATTGGCAGACGAAAGACCAGTGGAGAGAGGAGTACCTCAGGGGTCTATCCTGGGTCCACTCCTCTGGAACCTGGGATTCAACGACATAATGAACGGAAACGAGCTACCGGCAGGAAGCACAGTATTGTGCTATGCCGACGACACTATTATACTAACATCGGGAGCAGACTGGGAGGAGACGACGGTATATGCAAATATAGCCACGGATGTCATATTGTTGAGGATTGCCGACCTAGGATTAGAGGTCGCTCCAGCCAAAACGGAAGCAGTAGGTTTTTATGAACGAGGCAGACCACCCAATGCGACACTTAGAATAGCCGGGTTGCCCATAAAAGTAAGCATGAGTATGAAGTACTTGGGTCTAACACTGGACAGCCGGTGGACTTTCGAGACCCACTTCACAGCGTTGGCTCCAAGGCTTGAAAAAGCAGCTTTGAATTTAAACAGACTCCTCCCGAACCTAGGAGAACCAGAAAATAGAGTAAGGAGACTCTATGGTCAGGTTATCACGTCGATAGCAATGTACGGGGCCCCAGTGTGGGCATACCAAATTTCAAAAAGCAGGAAGACTCTTCAGGTCCTAAGGCAGATCCAAAGGAGAATAACAGGCCGACTGATAAGGGCCTATAAAACCACATCGTGGATTGTGAACACTACGCTGGCGGGCACACCGCCCTTTGAATTGGAGGCCAAGAGGCAGGAAGAGGTATACGAAAGGGTCACCGAGATTCGAAAAAACACCCCAAACAATATCTCGATCCCCAAAGCGGAAGTGGAAAGGATAAAGTTAGAAACTAAAAGGAAACTAACAAGGAAATGGAAGGAATGGCTGAGCGGTGTAGACCGGGAAGAGGATACAATCATTGGCGCGATCAATGGACAGTTGAGCGAATGGTTAGATGCAAAGGTGGGGCTAACCTTCCGGGCGACACAGGTACTGACGGGGCATGGATGCTTCGGAAGGTACCCTGTGTCGCATCGGAAGGAAGACAACTGAGGAGTGCTGGTTTTGCGAGGCCGAAAACGACTCGGCCAGGCACACGCTATGGTACTGCCCGGCTTGGGCGGAAGAGCGAGAAATGATGGTGGAGACAATGTGTCCAAAACTTACCTGGAACTCGGTCATTAGGAATATAAGAAAGGAAGAGGGAAAGAAAGCCTTTCTAAAGTTCTGTGAAACGGTAATGCTCAAAAAGGAGACCAGATAGAGGGAACGAGAAGGGGTAGTTATACTACCGGCGATATAGGGATAGGGAGAACTAAAACACGCGAGAGAAAAGCGACTGGTAGGAGGGGTCACCGCACCGAGTAGCGGGGCGGTGAGGCTCGTAAACACACCAATGGGTATGTGAACCTCGACACCACGGGGGGGGTACCTTCTCCAACTTTAATTTAGGCGCCCCCTCCCGTGGCCCTAATCTGTACAGATGATAGGAGGAGACAAAAAACAGTCACACCGAATAGCGGGGTGACTGGTCTCAACTTTAACGACATAAGGCTAGGGCTGTGAGGCCGAGCCAGATCCGATCTGGCCCTCACGGGAAAGACCCATGGGACCGAGGGCGGGGGCCTGAGGTCCCCACGAGATGGGTATGGGAAAGAAAGGGTGTGTTGCCGGCGTCCTCACACCCTCATGTACATAGAGGATAGGTTGCGACAAGCAGTAAGGCGGGGACCATCCAGAGGTACTATTGCGATGAAACTCCCGGATGGTCCCCACACGCTCTGGGTTAGGTACGCCCGCAGGGGTTTTAGTGGGTAGGCTCCTCAAGGGATTAACCTCGAGGAGAGAGTCCCACATACCCCGCCTCCCTCCCCCGAGGAAGACGGGGATGCGTAACGCATTTCCCCTGCGTCACAAAAAAAAAGTTAGTAATCCCGTCCCCCGTGCGTGGGAGGCCTTGTCGTGGCACGGGGGCTCACCCTGGTTCCCCTAGAGGGGTCCGAGGTGCTAACATCCCACTGTACGGAGTCCCTCGTTAAATAGAGGGACTCTGTACGCTAGAAACCGGCGTCCCAAGGATACTTTATGCTTCTTGGAGAATGGAGCGTCTGGAGGAACCATTCTTTTTAGGATGGGACCTCACTACGCCGGTAGGAGAAGAAAACTCTGACTGCAAATCCCGGTGGCATGGCACCGATAGAGGGAGATCTGCTTCCTTTCCGTGCGAGGAGTGGTGGGCGTCCACCAAGGTCCTCGGACCAGTGGGGGGATCCTTCCCCCTCTCCCTTCAGGCGGGAGGGGGGTGGTTCCCTTCGTGGTTTCGGGGAACAAAGAGACGACGCAGATAACATCTGCAGGCGGACTCTGGCATGCCATCGAGCCCATACCAAATGTAGGGATGCGAATGCCGGGAATGGGTTGTTTTCCACATTGCACCCAGGCATTCACTACCAGGTTTGCCCAGTGGGCGATCATTCTTCAGGAACTATTGCCCATTGCACGCTGGGTGTCTCTGGTAGAGACGCGGCTAAAGGACAGCGTTCCGAGCCGTCGGGGGCGGGCGGAGCGCTGTCTGGAGGTCGTGAGGAAGGATACAGGTTCGCGCGGACTCCTCGTGGCGAAGCCTGTGCCTCCCGGGGAGGGAGGCCTGGGAATCTAGGCGTCCCGGTTCTCATACCGCGTGGACTTCTCTGCGTCGGGGGTGGAAACTGTCGGAAGTAGCATCCTCCCTGCGGGGGGGGGATGTTCTCAGAGCATCTCCAGAGCTGAAGCCCATTGCACAGGAGATGTCTCTGATCCGGGAACGGGTGCCTGCCCGCCTGACGCTAAGCGTTCCGTCAGGCGGGCGGGTTACTCGTCGGTGAATAGAATAGGGGTGGGGGTTGATCCCCGTGGCGTTATGAGTTCTGCCACGGGGGTCGGCTCTCACCGGTGGGAGGCGGAAGGTCACAGGACGCGCACGCGTAGTGGCTTCCACCTCCCAACTAGAGTAGACGGAGTCGCGGCTACTCGGACTTTTCTGAGGTGGGGTGTGACATCCTGGCCCCTTGTGTCGCTGCTGGGGGGGTGGTGGAGGAGTGCGCCGGGGGAGCCTTATGTGCCCCGCGCGGCACAGAGCTCTCTTAGAGGTCCAACCGCGGCGCATCTTTCCCTGTCCTTGGGCCGGGGCGACCCAGGAAGGGAGTTGGAAAGGAGCCCGGTCTCTCGTGACGGCATCCCTCCCAAAACGAGGGATCGGGTGGAGATTTTGGCCGTTTGGGAAAGCTTTGCTTCTCTCAGGCGGTGTGCCGGTCGCCATGGCGGGGAGGGTGCGGAGGGGGCGTCGCCTTCGTTGCCCAAACCGTCCATGGGGCCACCCCGAGTGGCGTTACCCATGCCGGTGCCCCTGGGGTCGGAGCCAGGGGACCCCTGAAAGTCCAAGGTATAGCACCACAACCGAAGGTGAGTAAGGGGCTGGAGCCCAGTGCCTGCGATGCCTTCCCGCAAGTCAGAGGCATATGTCGTCTCCTCGGGGGAACTCGGGGCTCTATCAAAAGGTAGGGAGGGTATACCCTGGACGACGCAGCCGGCATGGGAAGTGGGAAAGAAGAAAAAATGGAACACAATATCACTAACAGCAACTTAGACGTGCAAATGAAAGTGATGGAGACGGAAACAGTATGTACGAATCCGGTTAGGGAGGAAAACAAAGAAGACGAGGCAAAAACAATGAAAACGTCGCAGGTATCCTCCATGGAAGTGGTATCCCGGACAAAGAAGAGGACAAAGCCCGGAACAAAGAAGGGGACATTCTTCAGGAAGCCGGGCCAGCGAGCCACGAGGGCCGCAACAAGAGAAAGTGTAGGAGTGGAATCTTCGGCAATGGAGACAGAGGCAGTAGAGATTAGTTCCTCAGAGAGTGATCTAGGAACAAGTCAATCTATAGGAAGGGGAAGTAGGAATACCATAGAGAAGGACTCAAACACGTCCCCACCGGAAAAGATCAACGTTCTGAACACAGGCTCTAAAAAGCCGGCAGGAAACAGAAAAAGAGAAAGATCTGGATCGGTTTCGGACAGTAGCAGAGGACGAACCACAGGAGATTATGTAGGGAGAAGAGAGGCGATTGTTAAATACAACATAGCAAAGGATGAAGCCCTTCAATTAGATAGGGAAAAGATTATTAGAGAATACAGTAACAAGGAGCTCTTTAAGAAGGCTAAGATTAATATAGAAGGAATAAAAGAGCAGATGGAAGAACTTACAAATGAAGAACTGGCAGAGAAGGTGCAAGACAACCTTATTGAAGTGCTTAAAATAGCGAGAACGTCGAATAACCTTAAAGGAACCTATCAAAAGAGTCTCAAGATGGCAGCGGCAGCTTCCATGGGGATTCTTCAAATTTTTAAGGATAGGGCAACCCTTTCTAAAGAGGAGGCTCGATCAGAAGAGGTAAGAGCGTTGAAGAGGGAGGTTGCAACTTTAAGGATAAGACTTGAAGATGAGGTAGAGTCAGAGAGGAGAAAGGCGTTACAAGCAGCCGGCGAAGCCGAAGCGTATAAGAAAGAGCTACAGGCTCTCAAAAAAGAAAGACCCAACAGAAAAGATAAAACTCCGAATCCAAAGGAGGGATCAACAAAGAAGACCTTATCTAAAAAGAGTCCGAGGAGAATCCCGTCGGCTAAATTTACGGCAAGGGACAAAATGGAGTCGTCTGACACTGACCTCATGGAGGTGGAAGAAGAGCCAGTTAGGAAAGTGGTGTTAGACACGCCAGAAAACTGACCTGAGGTAAGATGTCCGGCTATTGGCGACAAAAGAAAGCTGATCACCGATGACATGAAAACCCAGAAAGACATATACTTGGCTCATAGAAAGTACGTTGCGGAAACCAGAGGGGAGCTGGAAGGCATTATAGAGACGGAAGTGCAAGTACATTAAAGCAAGAAGGATAAGGATGAAGGTATAAATAGCATCACACCGAAAAATTTGGCAAGGATGATAAGAGAAATAGTCTCAGAAGAAGTGGCCAAACTTCAAAAGAAGCCAGTAATAAAGGAGATGTTGATTCTTAAGGACGCGAAGGAAGCGAAAGAAACTCCTCCTAAAACGGGAAAGAAGATGGAAACTACTAAGAAGAGTTCCATTAAGGAAGTGGTTACTCCCGTGTCAGCGAGAAGTATGGAGACAGAGGGAAAAGAAACAGAAAGAAGGAAAAACCTAGAGCTGCCATGGAATAAAGTGGTAGGTAGGAAGGAAAGAAAAAACCGAAACAATAGCGAAGGAACTCCAACAACAATAAGAAATCCCTGTATCCCTGGAACATCTGGTAAGGATGGAAAGAAAACAGCGGACAACAGGAGGATACCGAGGACCGCTGCAGTTCAAATAAGCTGCAGAGGTGAATCGAAATACGCAGACGTGATGCGGCTAGCAAGGGACAAGGTGGACATTCATGCACTGGGGATACATGAAGTTCGATCCAGGAAGACAAGAACCGGGGCGCTATTACTGGAAATCCAAGGAATGGATGATGGCAATAAAGCCGATAAACTAGCTGAAAAACTAAAAAAAGCATTAGAGGATCAACAGGACGTACTGGTAACGAGGCCAGAAAATACTGCAGATATCAGAATAAAAGATCTGGAGGAATCTACGACGAAGGAAGATATTCTCTTAACACTTACTCTAGGAAATTGTTCAGAGAATTAATTTAAACTGGGAGAGATCACATCAGCGTTCAATGGACTAGGAACGATGTGGCTACGATGTCTCTTGGCTGCGGCTAAAGGCATAACTAGAATCAGGAGAATACGGATAGGATGGACCATGACACGGGTAGAATTATTACCTGAGAGAGTGTAACTACACAGTGCTGTAGATGCCTGGAACCTGGTCATGTAAGGAAACAGTGTAGAAGCGAAATAGATAGAGGAGCACTTTGCTACAGATGTGGACAATCAGATCATTTGGCAAAGGGATGCGTAGAACAGGTACACTGTCCAATCTGCGCCACTAGAAATTTAAGGACAGATCATCGGATGGACCCGCATGCAAACCACCTAAAACTTTCTAAAGAAAAGGTTAAAAAGGAGAATAGAGAGAACCTAAGAGACACCATACAAGGACAAAGTAGAAACAGGGATAATTCAGTGATGGACGTGGAAGAATCGGCACAGAAACTCTCATACACAGAAGAAAGGAGAGAGAGGGAATCTAGTGTTATTAGGCACATGGTCGAGTATAGTGTAAAAGATAGAAATAAGGCAGAGGATTCAAGAGTGATAGAAAAAATGGAGACAGAGGAGATCACGGAAGAAACATTCCCTGAGACTCAGCCATCACAAGAAGCAACGGAATGGCCTAAGGTGGGACATGAATGGTCCTCGGACACTCAAGCTAACTTGGACAAGGAAGGCAACGGAGAAGGAGGAATCCGACAAAGTGACATTAATGAGTAATAAAGTTCTTCAAGCAAACATAAATCACTCCAGGGATGGTCACGATATATTACTACAAACCATGGCAGAGAGAGATTTTTCGGTGGCAGTAATTTCGGAACCGTACACTGTTCCTCGAGATCATCCACATTGGATAGGAAATGATGATAGATCCGTGGCAATCACGTGGAGGCGAATATGTAACCCCATTCCTTGTACACCACTTAGAAGCGACAAACATTTTACGTCGATTCGTTGGGGCGATATGGTGATAATAGGAACATATTTACCTCCCAGCCTGGATGCTGGACTATTCGAAGAGGCTCTAGAGGAGATGGAGAGGTGGATCCAACAAATTAGTAATAAACCAATATACGTTGTTGGAGATTTCAACGCTAAAGCAGCGTTATGGCAATCAAAAACTACAAACATACGTGGAAGAATGGTGGTTGAATAGGCTAGCCGTTTGGGTTTGTGTTGCCTAAACCAAGGTGGGAAAAATACCTGTATCAGGTATTCAGGAGAATCTATTGTGGATCTATCCTTTGCTAGTTCAGTGGCAGCAAGGAGAATGTTAATATGGAAGGTTTCAGACCGGGAAAGTAAGACTGACCACATGTATATCGAGATGGAAATTAGACATACTAAAATGCAAAGGATGAAGAAATATCATCCACAACCAAAGAGATGGGCGGCTAGAAAATGGATAAAGACATGCTAACAGCAGCAATCATGGTTAGCTGCTGGCCAAAACACAATTTGAATGAGGAAGCAGAAGGAGAGGACATCAATGCGAAGGCCAATAGACTCCAAATTATAATGAAAGGAGCATGCAATTTGGCTATGCCAAGGATTGAGCCAAGACCTCATAAGGCCATGTCGTGGTGGTCAGTAGAACTGGATCACCTTAGGGCAGAACTCTCAGCAGCGCGAAGAAGGCTGAGAAGGCTAAGGAGACGAAGAGGCAACCAAGACGAAGAGGAGCTATATATGAGAATCTGCGAATTCAGAATGGCTAGAGATACCTTCGGAAAAGCTATCCGAAAAGCAAAGGCTAAATCATGGGAAGAATTCGTTCTTTCACTGAACGAAGACCCATGAGGCCGTCCTTACAAGACGGTCATGAATAAGCTGAGAAGATGGGCTCCACCATATACGGAATCTCTTAATAGACTTTGGATCGAGTTCTCTTGGGACTCTTCCCAGCTGAGGGATTAGATAATTGGAGAGAACCGGATTTGCCAGCCGAAGGAGAGGCAGCCTGGAAAGAAGAGCTTCAGGTAACTCAAGAAGAGTTAATGTTAGCCGCGAAAAGGATGATAGAAAAAGATGCTGCCCCGGGTCCGAGTGGAATTTCATCTAACGTGGGCAATTGCAGCAAAGGAAATGGCCAGAGAACTGAGAGCATTATACACATTATGCTTAAAGTCAGGTAACTTTCCGAACATGTGGAAAAACGCGAAGTTGGTTCTTCTCAGAAAACACAACAAGCCAGATGATCAGGCTGCTGGATATCGTCCAATTTGTTTATTGGATGATGAGGCAAAAATGTTGGAAAAAATTATCTCGGAGAGGATAATATCAAATTTGAATGGCAGAGGACCAAACTTAAATCCAAGGCAGTTTGGCTTTAGAAGGGGTAGATCTACAATCGATGCAATAACAACAGCAAGAGCATATATGGAGGAAGCATTCGAGGAAGGTAAGGTGGTAATTAGCATATCTTTAGACATCAAGAATGCCTTTAATTCAATGTCATGGGGAATCATTGGGAAGGCGCTAAACAAACACAGGGTTCCATTATATCTTAGAAGAATCATCAGGAATTATTTGAACGGTAGAAAAATCTCTTTCCCCAAAGATGATGGAACATTGGGAGAAAGAGGAGTACAAAGAGGCGTCCCACAGGGATCTATCCTAGGGCCGCTACTATGGAATGTAGGTTTCGATGAGATAATGAAAAAGGACGATATAGCGGAAGAATGTAGTATAATATGCTACGCTGACGACACCTTAATTCTAGTGTCTGGTTATGATTGGGAGGATGCTACAGTAGAAGCAAACATAACGTCAGAGGAGGTAATTCAAAAAATCCAGGACATGGGATTAGAGGTATCCCTTCTAAAATAGAGATCGTTGGATTCCACGTGAGAGGAAGACCTGCGAACACGTCTATAAATATAGCAGGATTGGAGATCGCGGTGGGCCGGAAAATGAAATACTTAGGACTAACATTGGACAGCAGGTGGTCCTTTACAGCCCACTTTACGGATCTAGCTCCCAGATTGGAGGGATCGGCATTGACCCTAAGTAGGCTCCTACCAAATTTGGGGGGACCTAATGATAGGACGAGGAAATTATATATTAATGTAATTAAATCTATAGCCCTATACGGGGCACCGATATGGGCCTATCAGGTCAGAACAAACAGGAGAGCAATACAGATATTGAGAAGGTCTCAACGCAGGATTACAGGAAGATTAATAAGAGCATATAAAACGACGTCACATGCCGTAAACTCGGTCCTGGCAGGAGTTCCTTCATTGGAACTAGAGGCTATCCAGTATAAGGAGGTTTACGAGAGGGTGACGAATTTGAGGGGAAGAGACACACCTGTCCAAAAGAATGAGTTGGACACTATAAGGGAAACATCAAGGAGAAAAATGGTCAGAAATTGGGGAGAATGATTAAGAGAAATGACTCAGGAAGGAGACACCATCATTGGAGCGGTAGGCGAGCAACTAAAGGAATGGTTGGATGCTGGGGTAGGCCTCTCCTTCCGGGTGACGCAGGTCCTCACGGGGCATGGGTACTTCGGGAGGTACCTGTGTCGGATCGGGAGGGAGGCCTCCAGTAGGTGTTGGCATTGCGATGCTTTAAACGATTCTGCAAGGCATACCTTGAGGTTTTGCCCTGTGTGGAACGATGAACGGGTACAGCTTCAAAGAGTGATAGAAGTAGACTTGTCACTAAAGGCAGTCATTAGGTCGATGAGAAGAGAGGCGGGAAAATGCGGTAATCACATTCTGTGAAAAGGTTATGTCTCGCAAAGAGGCCGCGGAAAGGGCAAGAGAGGGAGTTAATCCCCGGACTTAGATACTTAGGAATGAAAAATGAAATAGAATAGGATAGCTCAGATAACTATAAAGGGATAGTGAAATAGGTGTCCCTGCGTGACATGGTACATGGAATGGTAGTGTAGCGTAGGAAGTGTAAGGGATGGGCTATAAGAGGTAAGGGTCACACAGGGACGTTTGGTCTATAGAGATAGGTGGGGTGACTGCACCGACTATCGGGGCGGTTAGATGTCGGTAGAGTACGGACATCGATCCCGCAGGGAGGGGGCTTCTTCATCTATAATTTAGTTTACCCTCCCTGCGGCCCACACGCCCGTAAGGGCACATAGGAGGAGACAACGGTGACACCGAATAGTGGGGTCATCGGTCTCAATGGTAGTTGTATAAGCAGGGTGAACTCGAAGGCCGAGTCAGAGACATATCTGGCCCTTCGAGGGGAGGACCCATGGAGTCATGGACGGGGGTTCATGTTTCCCACGAGATGGGCAAAGGGAAAGGGAGGGTGTGTCGCCGGTGTCTTCACACCCTCATGTATATAAAGTTAGGATGCGATTAAACGCATCAGCATAGGGGTCCATCGGGAAGTACTACAGATGCGAAATTCCCGGATGGACTCCAATTGACCGGGTTAGGTTGTAACCGGATTTCAATCTCTAATCTTAATAATTCTGTGAATTCTAATTTCTTTATATTTATTTCGTATGAGAAATCACCCAAGGTGACTTACTTTACGGTCGCCACTCTGTTTGTCCACCAACAGAGAAGGTTTGGTTGTCCTGGATGTCCCAAGAAATCGGCCTTAATGGATAGGAGGTCGCTGATTGGATGCCTTCCTTCCGTCCTTCGTTTGGATTGGCCGTCCGGCTGCGGTGATTGTGTCGTCGGGTGATGTCTCGTTGAGATGCGGTGATGACTTAATTTATTTTAGGAATGGTGATTCTCGCGAATAAATACACGAGCGGCACTTTAGTGTAACACAGGTATAGAATTTATTTAAACAAAACATCAATAATTAATTACAGGCCTTTCATTCACACATTCCATTCACTCGCGTTAATTCCTAGAATTTGACACTCTCGCGCCCTCTCTCTTTATCTCGCGTTGTCGCGTCGCGTCGCACTCACGACGAAATGGCGGTTACCTAAGATGGCCGCGCTAAAAGGTGGCGTGATGTTGCATCATCCACTGCGTACGACTTTCGAGGCTATTTCCTCGTTTAATTCGCGCTTGACTTACGCGCTGTAATTACGAGATACGTACTGAATACGTTTAGAAATGGATTACGGCTTAATTTCACCGTTTACCGCACTTTTACGGTTAACTCGGATTTATTTCCGAAATTCGCGATTTTTCGCGTAAATTCGCGTTCAGCGATGTTTAACTCACGCCCGGACACGATGCGGTATGCTCGGATACCTGGTTTGCAACGTTTTACCCGGTTACGCAATACTTTATGAGCCGCGTGGTTCGCGAGGTCCGTCCCGTTCGGCTCGATCACGACTACTTTTGAAGATGGCTATCGCCAGTGCCAAGATGGCCAAGGAGAAACGGTATGTTCAAATTCCCCCATTCTGTTCGATCTCCCCGCATCTAGTTGGTTTCTAGTTTCATTCATTCACACGGCCTTTACATGCTTTTCTTTAATAGGATTAAGGAAAAATAGTGTTCTTTACATGAATTAAATATTTTTAGTTGTTTTTATAAAATTTTTATTGGAATATTGACCTTTGGTATCTGAGACTGTTTCTATTGGTCCGTGGACTTGTCCAAACTTGGATTTATAACTTTTAATTGGTCTAACACTTGGAATAATTTCCTTTTATACGAATATTTATGAATTAATTAATAATTTATCTCAAATATCAAGGTTTTCTCAAAGTATCAATCTGCGATCTGGTTGTGTTCGAATAATTACTGGATGTTACAAATAATATAAAATAATTTTTTTACTGGTCTAATTTATATCGAATATTTCCGAAATTGTTTCTCATGGTCTAAATAATTCTCATATGTAATCTATTGGTCAAAATAATTTTGTAAATGCTTTTAAAATATCTTTTTAGTGAAATTTAATATGATGATCGCATATTCATCCTTTGGTTGCGTGTAACATCTCTACACGTCTTAAAATTATTTGTTGACTAATCGGAACGTCTTTAACTGACTTGTTTCAACCCTTTTTTCCATGACTCGAATTAATTATACATTTTTACTTGTGACTCTATTTTCAACTTTTAATTATCCTTTTGGTTCCAATTACTCAATTATTTTGAATTAACTCAAAACTAATTAATACGTCATCTGTGTGACTTTTAAAACATGAAATAATTGTATTTACTCGAATTAAACAAACTTTTCTTAATATCTACTTTCTTACCTTTTAAGTATTTGATCTAATTGTATTTTTGTTTCAGGGTCACCAAAAAATTCACAGCGTGTTCGTGTGGTAAGTATTACTATTTTTGTCGCGTTATCTCTTTCTATATTTAATTTGCTTTTTCTACTTTTGTACTCTTTACTTTAATTGTTTATTTTTCTTTTTAGGTCGCTCTGCTGGAATTTCTTTGGAACGCCTTTTATAGGATCTTTAGGTGGGTTGAGGTGTTATCTCCTTCTCTTATATTAATATTTTTAATTCTTTTTCTTTTTCTTTCGACGGTTCTTTACTCTAAACAATTTTTATTGAAACATAGGCTTTTGATTTTTTTTACTTATATCATATAAAATAATTTGTTACATACTCTTTTTTAGCTCTTAATCTTTTAAATAAATGCTTTAATAATACTGCCTTATATTGGATGAGACCTTTTACAAAATAATAATAATATATAAAATATGTGATAAAATATGATAAAAAATATATGAATAATTAAATCGTAAATAATATTGGTTTATGTCTTCTGAGTGCCTTTCATTGGTTAAGTTTCTTCCGTGTCGGGTCCCGTTCCCGGTTGTTGTTCCATGTCCTCAGGAAATTGCTTTCGCTCTGCCGGCGTTGTCCTGGGAATTGTTTTCTGTAAATGTTGCGGGTTTTTTATTTAATAGCGTAAAGCAAGAAAAATGCACACGGTTGCAAGGTACGCCCGCAGGGGTTTTAGTGGGTAGGCTCCTCGAGACAACAGTCTCGGGGAGAGTCCCACATACCCTGCCTCCCTCCCCCCGGGGGGGGGGCGGGGATGCGTAACGCATTTCCCCTGCGTCACAAAAAAGAATTAGTAATCCCGTGGGTCCGGCGTCCCAAGGACTCCTTATGTTCCTTGGAGCATGAGGAGTCTGGAGGAACCATCCTTCTTTGGATGGGACCTCACTACGCCGGTAGGAGAAGGCAACTCCGACTACAAATCCCGATGACACGGCACCGATAGAGGGAGGCTTGCTCCCTTCCCGTGGGTGGAGTGGTGGGCACCAACCAAGGCCTCCAGATCCGTGTGGGATCCTTCCCCCTCTCCCTTCATGGAGGAGGAGGGTGGTTCTGTAGCTGGACTCGAAGCTTACCCTGCGCTATTCGGTCCCCTTTTCTCTTCTGTGCCCCGGTCGCCACTCCTTTTGACCCCCAAAGAAGAAGGTCTTGACTTCTAACCCCGGAAGTCAAGACCTCGCCAGCCTCACTTATCCCCTGCACCACTTAACCGGCTTACTCCGACTCTTTTCGGTCGCAGAGGGAGAGGTGTTCGTTAAATGATAAATCACTGTATTGCAGGAAACTAACAACGCTAGTTTATTCACAAATTCACTGTTGCTAACATTTACATCTGTCCGCGTAACGCCGCTATAGGTGATTACGCCAGAGACGCGCGCCGCTCATTACACACAATTCTCGCAGTCTGGGTTTTCGCTCATCACTCTTATTCACTCAACGCTAGACTAATAACGTGGAAGTGAACCCCCGTTCACTATTGCGCTCGCTGCTGTTCGATACGCGCTCGGAACGGTCCCGATCACAACTCCCGGATGACCATCGGTCGACTCAGTTAATTTCCGAACAATGGTCCCCGACGACGAGATCCGATGGTGCTCCGAAAAGAGCTGCACTCATCTACGCGTGAACTACTCACTAACGACTCTCGGCGACTCTCCTCTGCTCGCTCTCTACGACTCGTCAACTGCTAACTGCCTTTTTGCAACTACGACTGCCTTCTTGCCACTGACCAACTGCCTCGAGCGCTCCCTCGCTCGCCTTCTTACCTCGATCGCTTATCCCCTCCATCGTGCTCGCATCTGCGCGTTCGCTTTACGCGCTGTAAGCGCTCACGGCGCTCGCTTATCCTAATCATTTATGCCGTTCGGTTCTGTCCCTGCATTTTATAGTTATATAATTTTTTAACATACAAAAAGAAAAGTAAGGCCTTCAAGAGTCAATTTGTAAAGACGTTAATAGATCATATCATTTTTACATGTATTTAAAACTTAAAAATAATCAAAGATAAACATATATTATAAAAGCAATTTAGATATATAGATATTAAATACAGTAATTTGATCTCGTCAAAAACATTACTAGTTTCGGCTATTAATTTTAGCCATCCTCAGATGTGAACGCAATACAAAAATTAAATTAATCGAAGAACAAGTAAAAATTCGCAAACTAAGATATGTCTTTGGTTGTTTTC